TTTAGCACACAACCAACTAACAAGTAATTGCATACACAGCTGTACAGATGTTTGTAAATACATACAAACATACTACACCTCCATATGGGTGACCTACGGTAACTGTCATTTCACTGGCGTTCACCTTATTATTATTATTTTTTTTTCTTTTTTTGTGTTTGCAGCACATGTGGTCTCTTAATTTCACATCTTTTTACTAGAGCGCAGGTTTGTCGCGCTAGGTATATTAGAAATGTTCAGTTAACGGTTAAAATATATACAAACACTTTATGTCCGCTTGAAAAAATTCAGTAATCTCTCCGAAAATCTCCAAAAGTTACCGACCAATTGATATGAAATTATTTCAGACTGTTTTTATGCTTCCTGGAAAGGATTACATGACAACAAAACTTTTGGGAAGTGGACCACGGACTGACCTATGCACGTACGGAACGGTTATTCTTCAAAAGTTACAGATCAATTGCAATGAAATTTTGTCTGCTAATTTTTAAGATTACTGGGAAAGTTTTTATAGAAAAAAAATTTCAGGAAATGGACCAGGAACTAAAAATATTTATAGAAAAAAAATTCGGGAAGTGGTCCAGAGGCTGACTCATTCGAAGAAAACTTCTATGCCGTTTATGACGGGTGTTCTCCAAAAGTAACAGATCGATTGTCTAGAAATATCGTCATATTGTTTCAATGGTTTCTGAAAATGTTTGTATGAAAAACAAATTTCGTCAAGTGGACCACTTAGTAACCTATTCAAAATTTACTTGAAATACGGTACATATGAAAGTTTTTTACTTAGATTAACAAGAAGACTACACTACTCTCCGGGAAGTGGGGCAAGCACTGATCTAATCGAAAAAACTTTATTTATGGTTTGGCTTACTTGAAATTCGATGCGTAGGTAGCTTTTTACTTGAACTAACAGAAAGACTACACTTCTCACCGGAAAGTGGACCAGGGACTGACCTATTAAAAAGTCTAATTTATTGTTCGATTTACTTAAAATTCATTGAAGATATGGATTTTCGCTTTGATGAGCAGGAAGACTATTCTTCTCGCCCGGAAGTGAACCAATGTCAATGGTAAAGCCAAGAATGTTGTGTACCCACAAGTATTGAACAAATAAATTCATGACAGAAAGATATCCCATGATTAATTTTTCGTACACTCAATTTGTATGTGAAATCAGTAGGTCTATAGAACAGGACGTAAACTATTTTCCCCACCGGAAGAGTGCCAGGAACATTTAAGGTCGTGGAACTCCTCCAACGCATGACGTACCAATAAATTATTTGGGGGGCAGCATGGATAGTAGGCAGACCAAACTGTTAATTAAATTAAGCAAAAGAGATCTTAGCATTCACATAGGTGTAAGCTAGCTTTGAGACACTACACCCTTCACAATGCTCCCAGTTAGAAACATCATAGAGGTGGGAATACCCGGTTGGAAGAAAATAAAACATTTTTCAAATTCGGTCGAGCTTTTCGCAAACGAATAGCTGGGACATACGAGGGTGCAAAATGAACCTGATGAATGGCATAGAAGGGTCGCTTGAGGTCAGGTTCTCAACTTCCCTCCAGCAAACAACCAACCAACCTCCAAAAACCAACGAAGTTGAAAAGTTTTCTTTCGACATTGAAACTATCTCCTTTTTAGAATTAAGCAAACGCACTTAGACCTTCCTTACTGTTTATATCTCTATTATATTTTTTTTTTTTTTTGTTTTCTAAGAATATTAAGAAAAAAGAAGAGTGAGTATCGCCTTGCTCAACAAATAAAAGTAATTGTGGGTGTAAAATACATACTTACAAAAGTTGCTATGTAATACTTCTTGGCCCATATACTCCAACTTCCTTCTATCCAATTCTTACTGCCAACTCAACACGTTTCAATCATTTTATTGTGTCAACAAGCTGCGCTCTCACTAAGCCATCAACAACACCAGTCATCAGCTCAGCCAAACTAAGGCATCGCGTCCGAGGAGTTTGCATTAACACTATCTGCTGCTCTGTTGTATACTGTTACCAACACTTATGCGTATCTATGTACATATGTATGCATGATGCTACCCATTATCAACATAATTTCAGCGTTTGCTCCTTTATTTAGCCTGACGTTGGCGCCACAGTTCATGTATTGTACATGCATATTTACTCATATATATATCTATATATATATGTGTATCTATATATGTATTTGAGTATTTTATACCTAAGCGAGAAAACAACATCGCTGAGCTGACATTAATGATTGTTTTCTTTACATACTTATGCACGTACGTATGTATGTACAAAGCCGGTATTGGGTGGTAAACTTTGATGAGGTGTTTCCCTGTAGTTATGTACATAAGTAGGTGCGAGAAAAATGTATATGCATGTACATATTTACATACATATGTACATGTATGAGAATGTATTTGTTTGGCGATTAAAAGTTTTATCCACTGAAGCCACTTGGCCTCATTCCGGTTGAGCTTGATGTTCAGCTAGAGCGTATACTTTTCGTTTTCTGAGTTGCTTGTATGAGTGTGTGTGTAGATATAATAAATCATATACCTTGAACACACTGATTTTACATTATAATTTACTGATAACAGTAGTGAATATTACAGTTAGCAACTATAGGCGATTCAATTCAAGGTGTCTAATTCACTCATCGTCTGAATGTCTTCAGTCAAATTAACTACAAATAAAGTTCAATATTTATATAAAATAGACTTCTGTGGGGTGTAGACAGGCTTCTGGATATGTAGTCACAATTACGTTTAGAAAAGTTACTCATACGACACGCCGCACTGGTACACTATACGACTACAATCATTGAATGTTATGTAAGGTATGCATTATTTGATCTAATGAAGGCACACGATTTTTCGACGTTTATTTATTGTATTTACATTCACCTTCGCTGCCTTTCGTTATTGCATTTTTACTGTGTTTGCATTTAGGGGTTTCGAAGTTTTATGTTGTTTTTTTTCTTTTCTTTTTATTATTTGCTTCTACTATTACTTGCCACAAACACATTTTCTCTCCATCCCTTTCACTACACCAATAAACATCGAACATTTATATTGACCTCATAACCTCGGTCAATTTACTACTACGCCAGAGAAACCCCTAAAGCGCACCAACGCCACGCCACCCCACAGAGCGCCAAAACAAACTCTGCCAAATCTCGCAACAATTTGGGTTACCAACACTCAGTCGCCTCGACGCCTTTAACTGTTATTTAGTAAATTTACTGATGCCTTTATTTGTTGCAATATTTTGTTTGAATGTGTGTGTGTGTGTGTGTGTGTGTGCGTGTGTGTATACATAAGTAAACACTAAACAAATTCGCGGTCCACTTACAGCGTTAGTGCTCATTTCGACACTAACCGACGGTCATTCGCCTCGCACATAATGACACGCATTGATCCAATTATTTGCAAAATTTGTAAATTTGTAGTAAATTTTATTGACGCACACGCGCTCAACAACCCGGTGACGACCACGTCGAAGTAGTTTTATGTGCAGCGCGCAGTTGATTGTTGCGGGTTCGCAGGCGTAGTTGGCAAGCCTCTATGCGTGGAACGAACGCGCATCCAGCTATGGCGTGGACTACAAAACGGTTGCGAGTACAAAGTAATAAATTATTTTTCAATCACATGCTATAATATCAGCGTGTCGTGCGCTTGGTTTTCAATAAATAATAAGCTATTTATGTGAATGACTTCGGTAAAGTTTTAATAGAGTGCGCTACGAATGAACGAGACGAATTAAGTTCAAGTAATCAAGAGATTCTAATAAAAGTGTATGTGTATGCTTGTCTTTTGCAGTTCCTTCAACTACAGCCAGGCACTTCAGCGAACTAACAAATCAAACAATGAACTCGTTACTAAGCAAACTATCCTCTCAGCAACAACAGCAAACCTCCTTGGAGGCGATGAGAAAGACTTACGTTTATGCCAAGTCATCAGTCAGTGAGCGACGCAGATTCAATGTAGGCAAAAAAGCAGAATAGAAAACCAAAATCAAAAAGGGAATTGTTGGTGCATAAATGTATGTACAAATATATGAGAGACTCGAAAAGAGCCAAAAGAGAATGTCAAGTAGTAGAAAGCGCGCATAAAAAATTCCGACTTGCATTATTAAAATTCCTTTCGTGCTCAGCCAAGAAGAAAACATGACACAAATTGCAAAACTCAAACCGCTCAAACTAATGCTGCGAAGCACAACCGAAATCAGCAACGCTCGCAACCATAGCAACAACAGCTTGTGAAGGAGAGTAACCAAATAAAATGAAAAATTTAAAGTATAATTTAAGAAAAATATAAAAATCAAAAAAAAAAATACACAAACTACTAAACTTAAGCACGCCGTTGGCAACTTACACACTGTCATACACGCTTCTGCATAAGGACATACATACATACGGCATCATAGAAAACAACGCCACGCATTAATGTCACTTTTGCAGGTATCGTACATACGTATGAGCTGGAAAAATTCTCTTGCCACCGACTTGCTAAAGTAGAGTGAGTGAGACCTTAACAACCTTATAGCCTTTCTTTGCGCGATTTATGTTAAGGACAAGTGGCGCCATTTGTTCACTACGCTCCGCCGAAAAAGGACCACCGGCACAACAAGCGAGTAGCAGAGCAGATCAAAGCAACAAGCAAGCGGGTAGTGTCAATAAGGCGGAAAGCATCTAGTGGCGGCGACACAGCAGACAAGTCAGCTTACAGTACCACAACTGCGGCAAAGCGGTACAAGCGGTTTGTAAACAAACGCAGCCGCAACGATTAACAAGGATTCAAGCAAGTAGTTAGCATACTCAGACACACCTCACACCACCGGCTGCATTGCAGCGTTCAACTTTTCCCATTCGCCAACTCATTGCTTCGACTACGTCACAGCGCATACCGTAGTGAGCGCCGTACACAATAGTAGTGCCGTAGGTGGTTTGTCGCCAGCTGCACAACAGAACGACCAAGCGAACAACCGACCAACCGGCAGCAGCAGCAGCAGCAGCAGCAAATACTCGAGGACAGTGACATTGTTTAGCTGTTTAGCTGTGTGTGACGCTGCTGCCACTTTTCAGCTGTAGCTGTGTAGCTGTGTAGCTGAAGACTCTTCAACTCGGCATGGGTGACCTGCAAGCAACAATTGAATTTTCCGTTGAGCTCTATAAATTCTTCAATGTTGACTTATTTCAAAGAGGGTAAGTTCAAGATGTGTTCTCATTTTCATTCTCATTTTCATTCTTATTCTTGTTCTCATTCCAAATTCTTATTCCCATTAGTATTACATTTACTATTTGCTAAGTGTATTTGCACTTGTAGTATAAAATGTACAAGTGCGTCTGTATGTGTATGTGTGTAGAAGTTAAGCAGTTGACAATAAAGTGGCACTGTCACATTTATTCACAATTCACATTGCGATTGTCGTCTTGACATTAACATTTGCGCATATTAATTTTATTCTACGAATATGAGTACATACATTCATACATACATACATAATGTATATTTTATATGTATGTAGGTATATTTGCATGAAAAATGCAAAGGAAACATGTAGTTTCTCGGGGATCAACAAAAGTTCGGTAAGTCGACCAGAAAAAACAAAAAAAAATTCTTTTTGTTTTTATTCGTAATCTTTGTCCTTTGTTATATTCTCTAAGCCTACAGATCCACTTCTGAATCTTGTTTTTCAAGCTTATCAAGTTCAGCATTAATCTCATTAATTATCCCCTCGTTGCTATTAAAGACCTTTCCCTTTGATTTCTTTTCATTTTTGGAAATAACCAGAAATCACCCGGTACTATATCCGGGGAATATGGTGCTGGACGTATTTCTTCGATCCCAAAGATCTCAAGAGAATTACTCGTTATTTAATCAGTGTAAGATGACGCGTTGTCGTGTTGTAAAAAGTAGCGCCTCAACTAAATTTTGGAAAACTTTTGGTAAGCACTCTTCGGGGTACCATTTTTCAGTTACCTTCTGGCCCTTTTTTTAGTGGAAAAGTAGCTACGTTTTTAGAACGGGTGAAGTAAACCGACATCATTACTTTTGCCGCTGATTTTTGTTGTCTACATTTTACGGGTGGGTTTCCTGCTGTTGGGCTTCATACCATGGACTGCTGTTTGGTTTCTGGTTCGCGCTTATAGAACCAATTAACGAGTTTAATAAAGTTTCTAGACTGACCATTTTCGCATTTGTTTAGGAAAAATTGAGCAAAATGCAGTCGAACCTCTTTGTGGGCCTCATTTAAAATTCGTGGTAAGCATCGAGCAGTTTTCTTCGTAAATCGCAGATGATTACTCAATATTCGCTGTACAGCCATGGCATTCAAGCCTAATTCATTAGCAATCATCTCTTGTATCAATCGGGAGCCTTCGTCAATTTTGTACTTCACCAAAACTACAGTGGCGTCATCAGTGGAATACTTTGGTCGACCTATATGAAAATATATCCAGTCTGGAATCTTCGGCACCACTTAAAAATAGTCCATAAAGACGGTACAATCGTTCCTTATGGAATTTGGCATTCATCCAATATTAGTATTAGCTGTAAATTACGCCGAGACCCGAAGAAAATCACATGGCAAATTTCTTTTTGTATGGTGATGGAATTTTGTCTGACCTATCCTTAAATACCTTGCGTTTTCTCACCTCTATTTTAGCTCATCGTTTTAAAACATGAAAGGAAGACTAATCAAGTAATTGCAAAGGATTTGGTATTTCTAGATTAAGCAAAAACAAATTGAAAGTCACCAACTGACCGAACTTTTGTTAGTCCCCTCTTGTATACATAAACCTATGTACTCGTATATAAACAATTTGCTCATATCTTAATAATTTCACTTGATATCCTTTAAAATTAATTTTCTGCTCTGGTTTTCTGTTTGCAAAAGTCATTTTACGCTGTGATTCCTTTGTGTTCATTATGTCTGTTACGGTTTTCGAAAAACCAAAAAAAACAGAAAATTTTTATATTTTTGAAATTTGTACCTTTCAATAAGTGTGTATGGGAAAAGATAATGGTTCGCTTGAAAAAAAAATCTTTTTGATTATTCGACCGATGTATGAGTACGTATTTGTAATTTTGTTTCATTGCTGGAGTATACTTATTCATCCGGACCTAATGGCCGCTGAATTCGCTAAATTCTGTCAATGTCGCCGTATAAGTCGTACAGCTCATCATTTCATCGGGTACGGTGTTCGCAATTCCCAATGCATAGAGGACCATACGAGTAAATTTTACGCGAAACTTTTCTCTAGAATACTCCCAACTCTAAGGCTCATCAGATGTTGTCATCATTCATGCCTCCGCACCACATAGCATCAAGGTAATGATTCTGCGTTGATTTTGAATGCTGAGATAATTGATGGTATTAATACTGATTCCAAGATAGACGAAGTTATCTACGACTACAAAGTTATGACTATCAACAGTAACGTGTAAAAAGAGTCGCGAATGCACTCAGAGCTCTCAAGTACCGCTGCCGCCCTAATATTGGTTTAATTCAATTGATGAGACACCGAAAATTAGCGTCTATCTCTCTCAAAGCTGTGAGAGAATTCCTTCACGCAATATTAAAATCAGTTGAAACTTTGATGACGGACCTGAGTGAGGCAAATCTTTCATCACATCGTGTCCGCATTTGTATGCAGCGCATGTAGTTTTTTTTTCGCCTATCTAGGGACCAACAGGTGCTACTTTGGACTGATAAATACAAACCTCTCTCGATGAACCGAAAAGAAGCTCTACGCTGAGTCGGCTTTGTGAGTTTTAGGAAAGATTTATAGTTCTTTGCTCAACACTGAACTGTAGGATTTGTACATCGACATAGTTCAACAGAAGAAGATGATGAAGATTGACTCATACCTTTGCTCGCTACTTTATTATTACGAAATTCTCCGTTTATTTTTACGATTTCAATTCAAATAAGACAAATAAAATCATAAATTTATTGTATTTACTCTTCCACATGCTACTTCTCACGGTTATCTCTTTATTAGAGCAATATGCATTTAATCTGTACGCAAATCAGTACGAAAAGAAATTCTATTAATGATTTTTTTTAACTAATTTTTCTGATATTAATAAAAAAAAATCACTTAACGCATGCCTCACGCTTCGAATGTTACTAATTTCCCTCAGAACGTAATTTATTTATATTTTATGATTTTTTATTGCTACTTTTTAAACTAATAAACAGCACATAAATACTAAATACAAATAATAGCACGCCATTAACGGCAGTCAATGTCGTTGAATAAATCGCCAAAAGCCATTTAAACAATCCAGTGGCATCCATATGAAATATTCACTTATAGTAAAATCATCAAATTAGAAATTAATTAAAACAAACATTAAAATTTGTGTTTACTTTCTTAGACTTGTGCCTCGCAACTGAGCCATCACTTGTGACGCTGCGGGCTTGTTTGCATTTTCCCATGATTCCAAAACATTTAATTTTCGCTTAATTCATTTGACATCGGCATACTTGACTGCTATAAAACAAACAAACAAACAAAAAAAAAAAACAGAAAATTAAATACACTAACGCGGGCATTTGTACTCATAGAGCGCGAGAAGGGTGAAGGAGAAACCGTCAAGTTGTGGTGTTCTTGAGTGTGTATCTCCTCAGCGAACTGTTGGCTCGAATGCTCATACATATGTATGTATATATGTATATACGTACGCGAGACATTAAAGCACTCGGTTGTTCATGTCAGCCACAGAGAACCATAACAAATAATTTGACAGTTTCAACTTGCGCATACTTCTGTTTTGTTTTTTGGTTTTTATGTTATGTACATAAATTTGGTCAGCTGGCTAAGAGTGTTTTCCGCAATTCAGTGTTTATTGTGCGCACTGACAAATGTCAGCTGTTAATATACAGTTGAGGGCAATAAAATGTTCCAATTAGGAAGAAGTGAATATTAAGGCTTAATTATATGTATGTATAAAAATAACTTATTTTGCATTCTCAAATTTATTTTTTTTTTTTGAAAAATGTGGTGTATTTAAATGTTGTTGTTGGTTCACATAAAAAATTCAATTTATTTTTTTGGTACACATAGTATGTTTATTATGACTTTTTGGTCTTGGCCCATCTGGCTGCTTCCATTGAGCTGATTGGGCTTTGGTTTCAACGTCATAACTACGAGTATGTAACGTCATTTAATAACTCCTGAGCGAAATACATCCCTAATGTAGCCAAACTGTGCTGCTACACTGCTTTGTGTCTCCAGTGTGAAGAAAATTGCTGTTCTTTATTGTGAATTTAAGTGGTCATTCTAGCCCCTTGACCATTGCTGATTGTAGATCTTGTAGTCTTCCTGCGCCAAGCATACATAGCCTTTGTCTTCCGAAAGCCGAATATTTACATACAGTGGGACAGTCTACCTGCATTCCTTGCATTTCCTACACTTTTTGTCAGTCAGACATATCTTAAGCGCATGAGACGCCAGAAGATAATGCCCCGTTATCTATCAGCAGCCTGGAGTCCGGTCTTTTAACAAATAGTACAAACTTTATGCGTTTAGTCTTCGCGATTCCAACATTTTAAAATAAAAAAAAAAGTTATATTATCTACTGCAAATCTTTTGAATAGATCCCGTGCTTGTATATACAAATCTTTGTATGTATATTTGTTTTCTAGGACCCCGGGAATTAGATCGGGAACAAATTTTTGTACATCCCTGTTTTCCCATGCTTAGAATGAGAGAAATTCTGATTTTTCCGCTCTGTGTACTAAGAGTGCCCCATATACTATGTATGTATATATAATTGGTACTTTGTTACCACTGAAATGAATTTCGGCCGAGCTTCTCCTCCATTTGTTGTGGTATGCGTCTTGATGTTTCCCAATAAATAGTTTGTCCTAAGCGGTCTCTGAACGGCCGATGGATTTTTATGAGGAGCTTTTTATTTCATGTTAAAAATACACTCGGAGAGCTTTAGATACCCCGCCGAAGGGCGACCGCGATGAGTAAAAATTATTTGCTATATTTTTGGATGTTAGTCCAGCCAGGACTCGAATCCTGATCACCCGTTTCAGTAAATATCAGAATCAGATCTCTATAAAAAATACATAAAAGATATATGAAGTAAGGAACAAGTCATCCATTGTTTTTGAACTTTATTGAAGACAGCTTTTACCTCGATAACCTTTTTGAGACCATAGATTTTGAAAGGTTTTTCTTGAGGTCTATTCCTCACTAGCTAAATCATATGCCATAAACAAAAATGGAAATCACTTAAAGCGAGTCCAACAACCAATCTCTCGGATCTTCTGGAGAGTGACTATCGATGTGTGAGGTCTGACGTTGTCCTGATGAAACTCAATACCTCTCCTGTTGAACAAAGCTGGGCGCTTCTGGGCATTTGCTTCCTTCATATGGACGAATTACTTAATCGAATTAAGAGTTTGGCGCTAGGGGAGTAGCTGATACTGGATGATACCTTGGGATTCCCGCCAAACACACAATAAAACCCGCCCATTCCGGTTTGAAGACTGTTTGTCTGCCCTGCCTGTTTTCGTTTGACGTTGCTGTAAGTGATCCACTTTTCATCCCCAGCCACCATCTGCTTCAAAAGTCAATTTAAACTTTGAATGTTTCGAAGTCCTAACCTCTGCCTTTTTGTTAAGTTTTGCCACTTCAAGATCTAGATCCGTTATTTTCTCTTTTAGGGACTATTCCTCACAGTAGAGATTTGACACATTATAAGGAGTATATTTTATTGCTGCTCATAGAGACAGACCTTACCATGTTAGAGACGACCAAAGAGCTTGTAAGCAAAATTCATTCAAGCTACATTACTGAGACCTATAAAAGATTGAAACTTAAGTATTTTTTCTGCGTACGTGTTTAGATTAGACGTTACGAGAACGTGAAAAGTTTGAAGCGGGATATTAGACCTTATGAGAGCCTGAAAAAATGAAATGAAGAGATTAGACCTTACGAGAACCTGAAAAGATGGAATGGGAAGAAAATTCTCTATCTTAATGAAGGAAAGTCTAGATTCGATATTTTTCATTTATTTACTATTTAAATTTTTTGGCACCAAATAAATTAATTCTTGAGTTAAACTTAAAATTTCTACGTCAACGGTAGTTTATTGCCCACAACTGTACGACCATCTTCCCACGACTGTGCGTTAGCTTTGTCAGCCGGTGTTTATTTGTAGGGATCAGTGGCGAGCGCTTAAATGGGATTAGCACCGCTGACGTGCGGAGACAACATTGCGTTGATGAGATTAAAAATAAGTACGAGTTTTCCGCTACCAAAAAGCCAAAAACAATCATACTCATATGCCTTTTAAAGTAGAAGAAGAAGAAAGCAAAAAGCATTGCATGGGCAGGCATTTGAGAGCGCCGCTGAGATTTAAACATGCCGTTGAATGAAGATGACAGGTGATCTGAAAATTAATGTGGTTTCTGATATGAGATGGCCACCGGTGAATCCTTAAGCTACTTTCGACAAAATTTAATAATTTTTTTTTTTTAATTTCTCTTAATTTGTATGCCAGCGCGCACATTCATATGCATATTATATATATATATATATATATATGTATAAACAGTTACATATGCATTCATATAATATATTAATTTATAACTCTTCCGCAGCCTCTATCAGGTGCGTTGCGGTCTGCGCGTCTCACCGCGTTTACCTGTTCAAGTGGAGACCAGCATAGCCGACAACACTCCACACACGACACAGCACACGAACACACACACAGCGGAAGTGCACACACAGGCGCAGACAGCAACCACAGTGAATGGTTGTAATGGCGTCGGCAGCGCTAGCGTTGGTGTTGGGGGTGGCGATAGCAGTGGTGGTGATGGTGGCGTCAGCGATGGTGATATGCTACAAGAGCAACGTGAACGTGAACAACAGCAACAGGATGCGTTGCCATCAAACATATTGCAGAACGGCGGCAGCCTATTGTCGGGATCTGCATGCATAATTAACGGTTGTGGTGCATCGCGTGTCTTTCAGATTCTCTACCGGAATGAGGAAGTGACGCTGCGCGATGTTATTCATTTTCGCACACATTTATTGGGTGAGTGTTAATTTAAGATTTATTAAAAACGCAAAACTTTTATATTCCGCATGCGACTTTTTCACTTGTGAAATGTGAATGTGAATCTTTTTTTTTGTTGTATTTTTTTTTTTTTTTTTTTTTTTTGGGTAAAAAGTTCTTTTCTTTTGCAAATGTTGATGTGGCTGGGAGCATAAGGTTGGTGGAGGATGAAATAAAGCCAATTACGTATGAGTAATATTGTACGAGCTCTTGTATGGAAAAATGCTCTAAGTTGAGTTTGTTTGTATTGAAAATATTTAAAGATTTAAGTATGAATAAATTTAGAAAAATTTTGGAACAGAAGGAATCAAGCTCAATTACTTGCTGCGTTATATGTCAAAACTTATACTTCTGCTTGGTGCGCTTTGGCTCTAAGTTAAGATAAGCCTGCTTTAACATATCTTTTCGACGTAGATAATCTCTTCCTCATCCTTTCCATCCAGTAGCTGATTCTGCGTCGGACCACTTTAAAACTGACTATGTGCTGATCCAGGTGGTAACGTAATCACCGGCTCTTAACCATGTGAATGTAGTCAATATCTCACACACTCATCGTTTCATGCTCCACGGTATTCGTCGTCTTTGGTACGTGGACATGTTTTGTGTATGGTTTCTGAAAAATTCCTCTCGAAACCTCTTAGTATTAACTCATCAGATGTCATCAGTGTCTACTACGAGAGAGGAGGTAACAATTTAAAATTGCCTAAAAGTGATACTGTGTGGGTTTTACGGCTAATATTGCGGCTGGTGTTGCTTGTGTTGATGCAGCTGCCTGAACCAAGATGCGAGCGCGTCGATTGTTTGTTTAAAGGCAGGAGATATTTAGTCTAGTCCTCATTTACTACCCGACTTATTCGCCGTGTTTTCTTATCTCGGCTGTAGAAAGCAGAAAGTACGTCGTTGCTCAGGCCGATGATGTTGATATCATCAACATAAACCAGCAGTTGTGCCTTGCCTATTTAACTCTGCGATCCATATAATTGTTTCTAATATTAAGTTAAAGAAGTAAAATATATGTCTGTAAGCTCGTTTGGTATCAATCGACTCGAAAAGGTCCCTCCACTTCCTGACGAAGCTTTCGAGGTTGCATAGTCTCCGCGTTTATTTACACCGCCGTTTGGGTTTCGTTGGGAATCCAAATTCAGACTTAGCGGCGAAGAGACAAAAAGTCTTTTTCGATGTTCGATTTGATATTTTACCAACAAATGAAGGGTCTATCGTCTTGCTAAGCCGCCTCTAAACAACTAAGTTAGGAGCTGTTAATATCATGACATAAATATCATCAGGGGAGCTGACAAATTTCGACTTGCTATTTTCTAAGGGGTTCTCCTTTCAAAGGAGCATTAAAAGCAACAATGCAAACCTAACCCAGTTTCTTACAACTAAAAAAAGAAGCAGTAACAGGTCTACTAAAAGAGTTCAATTAGACCAATAAAGTCAGACTTGCACGTGGCACACAATGAATGGAGTGCCAAAACAAGTACTTTAATTTATTAAGAGATCATCGAATTCCCTTAACTAGAGGCACAATAAGAAGAGTGACATAGCTCAGGTCGCATGTAGTATGTTGTATCGTCTATGGGCGACTCCGCTTAGATTAAGTTAACCTAAATTATTTGCGCTACACCAAAAAAAAACTCTAAAATCGGGATGGAGCTACGAGCTGTCCGATGATAAACGAAGGTACAGAGAATTTAATTTAATGGTAGAACCACATTGCAAAAGCGAAAAGCTATGGATTTGTAGAAGAGCGTACAACTTCTGTTGAATGTCGTTGGTGTTAACATCATCGCGAATAGATCCGATAGTGAACGGGAACAAACTAAAACATCTCTAGCCATCAAGCAGATAACCAGCGCTCTCCCCTTTGCGCCTTCACGTAACTGTGGGCAGCTCTAATTTTGAATTTGGAGATGATTTTGTTCTGTATTGAAATCAACATCCAACAAATGATACTATACCTCTTTTGACGAATAAAATACAAAATCTACAAGTCGCACATCAGTTGTCCCTCGCCACCGTGAACGACATCCAATGAGTCCACACTAGTTGTTTACGGGAACAAAGTTTGGCGAACTATTTATAGGCCATTGCTTACTACCAATGACGAATACCGCATAATAAGGAACGATGAGCAGTATTGAAAGACAATGGCAATTGGACAATTCCATTTTCAAAGTATTCGAACCCGCACCCGCCAGTGGAAGCTGGTGAAAAGCCAGAAAGATCAAATATTGGAAATATCAAATGTAGAGGGACTTTTGGCTTTGATGCCAACGGTTGGCGATGAACGGCAAAGAGAAGAAACCACTGACGTGCTGTTACACCACTGTAACTTATGTATAATATATACATATGTACATATGTATATAAAAGATGCGGCCTTTGGTATTAAAAACCAATTTTCGCAATTAATTAAAATATATCTAAATTTAATTTAATTCTAACAAAGAAAAACATTTCAACTTTAAAATCGCGCGTGCGTGTGTGTGTAAGTGTGTGTGTGTGTTTGTATAGGCACATTTTAACATTTAATAGAATTAAATTTGTGCCAGAAATGCCGCGTGTGCGCTGGCACAATACGACCAGTAGGTAATATTGTATTAGCTGTGGAGGTAGCCAAGCGCAGGCACAAGTTGGCGTCTTTCAATGCGTGCCAACTGCCGCATTATTGAAATTACTGCGTCTGCCATTCACGACTGTCAAAGCACTGCAGGTCGCCGCACAACGCTGCATACATACGAGTATGTGCCTATACATACACACATGCCAGGCATACGCGCGCGCCTTTTATTGGCTCGAAGAAATTGTAAAATAAATATTACAATATATATGTAAATCAATGAATAAATGATTTTTTTTAAACCTGCGAAAAAAAAACCAAAATTTCATTTCATTAATGAGATATTTGCGACAGAAAAGAGGGAGAACGGAAAAAATAGTTTTGATTAATATTAAAAGTACAGAGAAGAGTAAAAATTCAAATAAAAATTAAAGAAGAAGACATGCCATTAATAATGGCAAACAATATCAGTCACATGGCGGCCACGGCTAGGCTAACAGAACAGTATCCTTTTTATGATCAGCTTGAGCTCTTGTATTAACGAAAATTTATAAAACTTAAGACCCAAATCTTTATGCAAAATACGCTCCAATGACGTTCCATTGAACGCCGAGGAATGGACAAATTTAAATTTTCTTCTAATCTTCGATGCTGCAGCAGTAATATTTTAGGTTGTTCTTGAGCGTTGTGCAAGTGTTTAATTCTTCATATCACTAACTTGTCCTAAAAGCTACTTTTTTCCACCAATATATGCATTGCGGTCTGCCAAGGTACATCATTTTAATGAATTGTTGAAGCGTCTTTCGATCAATTTGTATTACTGGCGTAGCTCTTACTTTTCAAATGTAAAAAAATTATAGCTTCACAGGTGGCATCTACCGGTATAGCACGCTATTCAAAATAACACCTCTTATTGGAAAACCCTATTTCTTTTAATTCTTCTATCATGCTTTGTGAGGAAAGAAAAATGTAAAATAAAAGTTTGAAGTAAATATCGTGCGGTTTTCTAAGAGAGGGCTCTGCTAGTTTTATTTCGCGTCGTGTTCATCTGTGGCTATATTCATAAAGGTACTGTTATTTCACGTCGTTTTCAGTAGATGTCATTTGTTTTAGCGTGAACAACAATTGGTTTCATTCATTCAGATAAAGTGTTTTTGCGGTGAGTTCTTCTTCATTACTTTAACATGAAGAAAAGTGCTACCGAAAGCCATTATATTTTACTGGACGTTCATGGTGACCATGCTCTAGTCGAACGAACATACCAAAAGTGGTTTAAAAGTGGCAATTTCGACATAGACGGCGGACAGCCAAAAAAATTTCAAGACGAAGAATTGGAGACATTGCTCGACGCAGATGCATGCCAGACACAAGAAGAACTTCCAGACGATTAAAATCATTTTTTCACAATAAAGTCTTACATTTCGAAAAAACCGCATGAATGAATGCATACATACCCATATATATATATATTAATACATTTGACATAACTAGAAAATCTTTTCAATTTGCAGTTTTGATAAAATTAAAAATAAAAACAATTTCGCAAAAAAAAATTAAAACAAAAAAAATCTAGAAAACAAAAAAATATTTTTGAAAGCAAAAACCAACAGAATATTTAAAGCAAATACTAAGTACTCTCAACCATAACCATTTCTTGCACACATGCACACGCGCACACACAGATAAATACTCTTAATGTATATAACAACTCGACAGCCAAGTATTAAAAGGTACCTTCTCTAAGATTTTTATGCCATAATAAAATTTTAATGGCGATAGCCTTCGTATTCTTTTTCATGCGTATGAATATGCAAATGTATGTAAGAATGTTGAGCGCAAGTAAATATTTCATACACTTTGTGTATCTGTATGTATTTTCTAAGCATGCATGCCTCGGCTGGTTGGGTGGAAGCTAGTGAAAGAATTCACAAATTTCAACTGATTCAAAACTTACTTTCATTTAAGGACTCTTGTATTTTGACATGCCATTATGACCTATAATATGAAGGATTTTTATGCGAAAAAGTAGAAAATTTGTATATTTAATAGTAAGGCAAATGTATATGTATGTGCGCTGGCTGAAATGCCTTCCAAATTGAATGTCATGCTTTTATCAAAGAAAGGTCAAACTTTTTTACGCTTTTATGCTTCCATAAATTAATACGTACATATGTACGTTTCAAAGTGCTTTTATGTGTTGCACAACTTGTTAAAAAATGGTTAGCAATTTTTTTTTTTGTAATGAAACCAACAAGTGACAGTAGATTTTAGTACATCTTTCATTTATAAAATCATGTAAATTTGAATTCAAAACAGTCTGAAATTTATATTCTTTACTTCCTTATTAAATAAATTTCTATATCTGTGTAATTTAACAAATAAGAGAAAGCGCCACAGCTGGAGATGGCAAAGCCGA